AATATACTCGTAGCTCCATGAAATCTGTAACAGAAAAGCTCAAAATATCCTACAAAAGGGAATGCAAGTTCTCAAAATACATTCAGTGAAAACCAGAGTTGAATCAATTATTCCGAAAAGGTCAGTTGAATACTTGGTACTATCAATATTTCATCGAAAAAGTAACATTTACTAAAAGTTGATGTTACAATATATAGCACACTAAAAATTTCGAATGTCATTCCCATGTATAAGATACTGCATTATCATAGAATTGGAGCAATCGTCCATGGAAAAATTCGTCCAATAAAATTATAATTCGATAATTCTCTTATAGGTATGTAAATTTGTGCTGAGAAATCAAAAATATTTGAAGTCAAATCCTGACTTCCGTGCCATCTATTTTCAAGATGATAAGTCCCCCTCACAAAGGCAATATTTCAGGCAAATCAACACTCAACTCAACAACAGACTGGCTGCGGGGGAGAAATAAGATTTGACGATAAAGTATATAAATGGTACGCCAACTATATGTAGTACAACAGTAACGAACAACGCAACGGTAACAACCAATCCGGACCCAGCTAAACCCGCAACACCTGTTAATGTCAGTAACGCCGAAAATACGGACATGGATCAGGTTCAAAAAACTGCTAATTTGTCATGTTAACATTCGGTCCCTCGTCTCCTGCTTTGATAGTTTTTCGGAATATGTATTTGAATATGGTTTCCATTTGATCGCTATATCAGAAACTTGGCTTCAACCTGATTTTTCCTCTCATCTGGTGCATTTGGAAGGGTATGAATTGATACGTGCGGACAGAAGTTCTAGAGGGGGCGGAGTATGTTTTTATGTGCACAGCAGCTTAAAATATAAAGTCTTCAATACTGATTATATTAGTAAAGTGCACTTAGAACAGCTTTGGTTATCTTTCAATATCAACAACTTGAGAATTTCTGTAGGGGTACTTCCGCCCTCCAACGGGACCTATGTCATGTCTCAACGAACTGGAAGAGGTGCTCTCCAACGTGTGTATGAATACAGATGAAATTATTTTAGTAGGCGATGTCAATATAGATCTCCTCAAGCCCCCAGGTAGCACAGGTTAGTGAAATGACGTCATAATGATGTATTTTTTAGGTCATTATTGGTCAATGACGTCCTCGACTTCAGAGGGACCAAAAAATGACGTCATATTTCATGACGTCTTATTGACTTCAATATTGGACGTCTTAATGACGTCCCTACAAAGTCGTATATTCGACCAAATAAGAAAAATCAGTCGCTTTCCTACATTTTCATCGTTTGTTAATTGTACGTACTAAATTCGTGTTTGTATATACAGTGTTTTCGTAAGTACTGATGAACAAATTTATTTTTAGCCAAATTATGCATTTTTGAGAAAACTGCTGAAAACGGTCGATTTTCATTTTCAACATGGTGATCCACGTTTGAGTTATGACCATCACGACAATTTTTTTGAATAGAGCACCCTATATATATTACTCAATCATTGGAATAACCATGGGAAGCGGAATTCGAAAATGTTTAACACAATCATGTGGATTGTATAGGTAAGTGCGTCCAATAAATTAGATGCTCTCGTGAAGTAGTAGATAAATTCATTTATTATCCAATATCTATCTACCTTTTATATTTCTGAGAAAGCAGGAGAGGCTTTCATTTCTAATTTGACACATTTATAACGAGAAATCATAAAATTTACAGGATGATGCACGTTTGTATTATGACGTACACGACACATTCTTCAAACGAATATATATTATTGAATTTTCGTAATCAAATGTATATAACACAAAGGGTTTGTATACAGAGCGTTCGTTAAATTCAGTTCCCTCGTAAAATTGGATCGCCATTAAAAAATAAAGATGACGTAATTTCTCCTACACGAATCATTCTGTATATATTGATTTGATATGAGATAAAGCTCAAATGAAAATAAAATTCTACGGCTTCCAACTTCACAAAATAACTTTATTCAACGAACGCACTGTATATTAAACTCATATATTTTTGAATCCAGCATTCCATGTAGACTCCAAAAATCGAATAATTCATATAGGGTGTTCCTTCGAAAAAATGGTCGGGGAAGTTGTAACTCAAACTTAAATCACCCTGTATGTTCAATTTTTTCTCAATAATGTTGGTAATTCAGAATAAAAATAGGGAGATTCCTCAGAAAGGAATGCTATTATAGTACATTGATTGGCTACTTTATTTACTTCACGCGAGATCACTCAATTTAACGGACACACTGTATACAAACCCTATGTGTAATATATTTTTAAATTCAGATTTCCATGAATATTTCAAAAATTTAATGTATCTTATATAGGTTATTATTGTTTCTAATTGAAAAAATTGCTGCGAACGTCTTAACTTAAACGTGGATCACCCTGTATATATATGATTCTCACTTTCAAATGTGGCAAATCGGAAATAAAATCGAGCTGTTGTAGAGGATTTCTCAGAAATGGATAGTTTAGCTAAAAATGAGTTTATTCAGCTTACATCTCGCCGACGCTCGCTACATAATTTTAGGTACAAATACGAGTTGCTAACGATATTGTCATATAGAGATTCATAGGTAGTAGTGATAGCGCTAGGATTCAACAGGACTGCCCGGGAGGACCATCAACCAAGTGACCACAACGTATAGTTACAAAATGAATGTCATCAAAGGTTTGTGGTGTAATTATGTACCAATAATACCGTATATATATATAAACCTCCTATTTTTTTTATTTCGTCCTTTATTGGTCATTCTGCGACGTCATCATGACGTCTAAATATGACGTCATTGGGCTGTGACATTTTGACGTCATTATAGGGTCTCTCAGACGTCATTTTTGGACGTCCTCTTCGTCATTTTATGACCAAAAAATGACGTCAATTGGACGTCACTCTGTTACCTGGGCCTCTTCTTAAACCATGTCAGGAACTGACTACCCTATTGAGTTGTTTCGATCTTGTACAAATCTTAGAAGAACCAACCAGAATATGTGGCGATTCCAGTACGTTGATAGATATCATATCTGTTAGTGGAAATGTGACAATTATAGATAAGGGAACTCATGATATGTTGAACATGACAGATCATAGATCGACCTATTGTGAACCGAACTATTACGTTGCTAAACCAAAACCAAAATCAATCACCTATAGAGATTTCTCACACTTCAACCCAGATGAATTTTCAACAGATGCAGCGTTAATCCAGTGGGATCATATTCATAATCTGAATTTCATCGAGGAAAAAGTCTCCTATGTGAATAAAGCAATAACATTCCTCTTTGATATGCATGCTCCATACAAAACAGTGATAATTCGAAAACATTACAAACCATATATAACTCAAACACTGAAAGAAATTATCAAACTAAAAAAAGGCCTATGCTAAATACAAATCCACCAGGTCAACTGCTGATTTGTATTATTACAAAGATCTTAGGAATTAATTATCAATTGCATTGAGAAATGAAAAGACTGCGTATATACAACACCAGGTTGAACAAAATAGGAACAACCCTAAGCAAATGTGGAAAGACTTCTCGAAATGGAATATTCATGGTAAAACCAGTTCTGTTATATCGCCAGAAATTTCCAATCCATTTTCAATAAATGATTTCTTCCTAGATTCGATTGAAAATAAGCAGGTTAGTGAGGAACTAATAGAAGAGTATTATACTACCTCATATGACAACAACAGGAAAAAGTACCCATTCTATGAAGTAACCAGTGACTACGTGGAAGATACTCTGAATACTATTAGATCCAACGCATGGTGTCGGTGGAATAAAACCTTAAAATGTTGAAGTATGTCTTCTGTTACTGTGAAAGCGCAACCACATCAATAATCAATGAGTCACTGTGTACTGGTATTATCTCATTAGTGTGGAAAAAGGCAATAATTACACCCATTCCAAAAATTCCGACAGCGACTGAATTCAAGGACTTGAGGCCTATCAATGTACTTCCGACCATGTCGAAACTTTTGGAAAAAATCGTCTCTCAGGAGCTCAAACAACATCTTGAAAATAACAGTGTATTTCCAATGACACAATCTGGTTTTAGAAAACTACAAAGCACGACAACTGCTCTAATAAAGATCACAAATGACATCACACGTAATATCGACAACTCTGAGGTTACATATCTTGCGATGCTTGATTACAGTAAGGCGTTCGATATGGTGAATCATCAGCTCCTGATAGCCAAGCTCAAGTATTATGGCTTATCTGGTAACGTACTGAACTGGTTCATCGATTATTTAAGTGATCGGGCACAGTGCGTGAAAGTCGACTCGTCCACATCGTCATTCCGGAGTGTTACTTGCGGTGTGCCACAAGGGAGTGTTTTAGGTCCACTGCTATTCTCGATTTTCACAGCAGACCTCCTACGGAACGTCCTACCGAATTGGAACCTACATCTCTAAGCCGATGATGTGCAAATCTATGGCTCGTGTGACCCCCATATAGTTGATGAGCTCATTGATGAGCTGAATATAAATCTGTGCAATATCAGTGAATTTTCTGTAAATCACGGTTTGAAACTGAATCCGTCAAAGACTATTGTGATGTGTGTAGGTACTAAAAGTATAATCAGGGTTGCCAGACCTAGTACTTTCGTACTAGTTCTAGTACTATTTCACTAAGTCTAGTACGCTAGTACGCCCACCACAAAATCCGTACGTTTCCACGATTTGACTACTCTAAGACAAGAATGGTGAGGGAAGGTAACGAACCTAGCAAAGATAAAATCAGTGTCAACCACAGAACTAAAACACAGTTCTGTGGTGTCAACCTCCTAACCTAACCATAGAACCTTGGTAACGATATTTCAAAACGAAAAGAAGAAGAATTAACCTAACTTCTAACGTTCTGTGTCTCTATGATCTATGACTTGCTTTGCGTCACAGGTGATTTGTGGTACTGTGGTCACAGATTACCAAGTGGGCAAGTGGTTCTGAGTTCTATGTTCTACTCTTAGTGTCTTTCATGAATCATGATCTGTCTTTCAATTCAATTCAATGTAGAATGTAGTCTATCTATGCTGTGTTATTTATTAGTGTCTTTGCCATTTGTAGTAGGAAGAATGGAAGAATTGAAGAAAACAAAATAAGAATATGATGAGATGCTTTGTTAGACAAAGACCAACACCAATTCACCACGGTCACAGTAATGTATAATTATGGAAAGGTTTGGTACAAACTGATAGTGCCTTGCATCCATCAATTCACAAACTTCTTTCCCCAGGTACCTGATTCAAATACCATCTAAAGCCACTACTGCCAGTCCTGAAACTCCTGAATCTGAATGTCTTGATGCAGCACTCGATCCTACTTTGGAACATTTCCAGAAGGCACCAAAGGCACCATGCCCTAGTATTCAAATAGATGATGAAACTGAAAGGACTAATAAAAATAAAGATGAACCAAAAAAACTGAAGCAAACATTCCAACAGAAGTATAACAAGAGTTGGGAAAGTAGATTTCCATGGTTGCTATCGAAGGATGAAAGAAAAATATCATGCAAATGTTGTAATGCAATTATAACATGCAATTTAAGTCATATAAAACGGCATGAAAATACAGGGAAACATCAAAGACTATACAAAAAGTCAATCAGCACCCCACAATTATCATCACTCAAAAAAGTAAGAGAAGTTAATAAATTGAATAAAAAAACACAAATCGCAGAATATAAGTTATTGATGTTCCTACATGAACATAACCTTCCATTTTTATTAATGGATCACATACCAAAAATGTTAAGTTCTGCTTTTCCTGATACAGAAACTATAAAGAATTTAAAATGTTCAAGAACAAAAGCAACTCTCATTACAAAAGAATGTTTGGCCACACAAGCATTAGATGACATCGCAGCAGATACACAGAATTGTTATTATTCATTGATTGTTGATGAAACTACTGATGTGTCAACAAAGAAATCCCTTGCCATTGTTATACGTTACCATAATGGAACTTATGTAAAAGACAGATTTTTATGCTTGTCTCAAGTGAATTCATGTTATGCAGGTAGTTTATTCAAAACAGTGTGTGATGTATTAAGACAAAATAAAATCCCCTTTGAAAATTTAGTTGGTTTCGATGCAGATAACGCTAGTGTAATGATGGGTGATAAAAGTGGCCTGAAAGCAAGGTTCAGAGATATTAACCAAAATATATTTGTAATAGGGTGTGTTTGTCACTCCTTTGCCCTATGTTCATCTTCAGCTTGCTTAAAATTACCTAGAAGTTTGGAGGAGTTTATAAGGCAGATTTACAATCATTTCGCCAACAGCAGCAAAAGGTTAGAAGATCTGCATCAATTTCAGAGTTTCTTGAACCAGAAACCATACAAGATGTTACATCCAGCTCAGACTAGATGGCTCTCCTTACAAGTAATGAACAGATATGTCATGAGCTATTATTTATTAATTAGTAAATTTTCATTTTAGGCTGTAGTAGATAGAGTCCTACTATCCTGGGATGCTCTGAAACTTTATTTTACCAGTGCTGTCATGATAGATGGTCTTCGAAGTAGCCAAACAGTATTGGATAGTTTGAACACACCAATAGTGAAAATTTATTTACTATTCTTAAACTACATTTCAAATATTGTGAATAAATTGAATCTAGAATTCCAAAGTGAAAAACCCAAAATATATATTTTGAGCCAAAGAATTTCAGAGTTATTTAGAACCCTTTTAAGAAATTATATTAATGTTACACATTTGAATACAACAGAACTCGATAATATATCTCCCAGCAATCCTGATCATTTTTTACCAATTGAAAATATGTATTTTGGGTCGAAAGTTCAAATAATGATCCAAGAGGTTAATGATCCACAGGAAATACAAAAGTTTAGAGTTAATGCCCTGGCATTCTATGTAGAATTATGTTGCCAAATTAAAAAAAGATTTAATTTTAATGATCCCCTTTTAACATTTTTATCAAATTTTTCTGTCAATAAGGCTATTTCTGGTGAAATATTGAGCATCACTGAGATAGCCCAGGTAGCACATCATATTGGCTGGAACCCGATTTCATATTGGGCCGATATAGATATATCGTACATGTGAAACATAATATAGGTCCAATATGAGAGTATATCGGACATACAATATTGAAATGATAATATTGGTGGAATATTGGTTCAACCTGAGCTGAATATGGATTGTCAGCTACAATATTGGAGCAATATTGGTTGTAAAATTCGTTAACAATGTGTTGAAAAACATATTCATAAATGTTATATAATATTGTTTTACAAATGTCGATACAACAACATCGTATACATATTGTTTCCGACATCAATAACCAATATCGCAATTTGAACATTCTCCCCATGTCGATTCTGAAGCGGTTATGCAATATTGTATATTCAAGTTAACCGGAATATTGGTTGGATATTGTTTTAACAATATTTGAAACATCATATTCACCTATATTGATTGATATCATTTTATCTATATCATGCGGAAGATATCGTATACATTTTGTTTCTTACATTTATAACCAATATCGTGATTTCAATATTCTCTTCATGTCGATTCTGAAGCGGTTGTGCAATATTGTATATTGAAGTTCGATGGCATATTGGTTGAATATTGTTTCAACAATATTCGAAACATCATATTCACCTATGTTGATTGAAATCATTTCATCCATACCATGCGAAAGGTATCGTATACATATTGTTTCCAACAATTATAACCAATATAGCAATTTGAACATTCCTTCCATGTCAATTCTGAAGCGGTTATGAAATATTGTATGTGCGAGTTCGACGGCACATTGGTAGAATATTGTTCCAAAAATATTTGGCACATCGGATTCACCTATATTGATTGATATCATTTCGACTATATCACGCGGAAGATATCGTATATATATATTGTTCCCAACAATTATAACCAATATCGCAATCTGAACATTCTCCTCATGTCGATTCTGAGGCGATTATGCAAAATTGTATATTCGAGTAAAACGGCTCATTTTTGAATACTGTTTATTCGACAATATTCAAAACATCATATTTACCCAAATTGATTGATATCGTTCCAACTATATCATGCGAAAGACATGGAATGCATATATTGTTTCAAATATGAATATCAATAACGGCAATTCAATAAATGTCTTATATCGGTCATAGAAGAGGAAAACAATATTGTATTTTCAAATTCAATTGCATATCGGTTGAATAGTTTTCCAGGAATATTCAGAAAGTAATATCATCTTATATTGGCTGATATCTGATTCACTATATCATGTGAGCAATATTGTTTACATATTGTTTTAAGAATACATATCGATATCGAAATTTCGATATGAATTCCATAGCATGCACTCTCAAACCGATGTCGATAGATGGCGCTATAAATGATTCGTAACGAACTCCCATTGCCGATCAGACGAGAGAATATAAATATTGGCTCTAGACGATTGTAAAGCATCATTACCTGGAGTAGGATCAATAAGGCGGCTTCCCCGAGGCAAGGCCCTCCCATTGCACTTCGGCTGGACTGACCTTTGTGATTATTCCTAATGCGAATAACCCGCAAATATTGATATGAAAATATTCCACCAATATTCCGAAGACAACATAGCTACATAATGATTTTCAATAATGTACCAATATTTCCAACCAATATTGCACCAGTATATTACTATAATATTCCAGCAATATTGGTATGACAATATTCTACCAATATTTTTGAGACAACATAGCTTCATGATGTTTTTCAATGATCCACCGATATTTCCATATAATATTGTCGAATGTTCACCATTAATTTCTCGCCAATATTGATATTACATTTTGTGACCAATATAACTCCACGAATATTCAACCAATATTGATATGAGAATATTCTACCCACATTTGGGAACTGATATTGTACCAATATCGCCGAATGTTCACATTTTTTTTCTCGCCTATATTACTTTCACAATATTTCGCCGATATTTTCATAATATTGCACCGATATTGTCCCAATATATGTGTGCTACTTGGGAGGGATTTTTTTTCCACAGATAAATGTAAATTTAGAAAATTTAAACTCTGAATGGAGATACTTAGCAGATGCCACAGATTTCAAAAAATATAGTGACATGGATTTTGGAGAATTCTGGCACAAGATTTTGATGTGCAAAAACAGTATGGACATGCCAATGTTCCCGAATTTGAGTAAGGTTGTCAAATGCATTATGAGTTTACCCCATTCTTGTGCAGAACGTATCTTCTCCCAATTGAATCTACTCAAAACCAAAGTTAGAAACAGATTAGAGGTAGAAACTTGTGACGCAATAATACATGCTAAAGATATGATTGGGAATAATAATTGTACAAATTGGCAACCTTCTGAATCATTACTGCAAAAAAAGCCAAAATATGACTTCACCAAAAATTAATTATTTTTCACTTTTTGGTTGGTTTATAGAAACATTCTTATATGCAGCTAGCACTTTATTTCAATTTCTCAAAAAATGTCAAGTATGAAATGAATAATAAGTATATAAGGTTCTCTGAATACCATACAACTAGGTAAAGCCTATTCTTGAACTCTTAAGTTGATTTGTTGATTCAGATTTGTATGAGAAATGTTTCTCAGGGAATTATAGAGATTTTCAAACTGTTGATATTGGAACCTACACAATATGTCTTCTTATTTTAAGCAATATGAAATGCAATAATTTATTTCACCTTATTTTCTGCATTTATGAAGCACTCAATTCGTGATATAGGTATGCAATAAAAAATCTTTATGTTTTTTCTTTGTAGCTCTTCTTTTTCTGTTCCAATAATTGAAAATCTTAAACTAGTACCTTTTTCAAAAAATTAGTACTTTTTCGGATGATTTTCTAGTACATTTTGAGATGCAGTCCTGGCAACCCTGAGTATAATATCTAGAGCTAAGGCATCTCAAACGCTAGAAATCGTTCTGGACAATGTTGTAATTGACCTCAGTATGAACACAAAAAATCTAGGGATTATCCTCGACGAAAATTTAACGTTTGAGAAGCACATAATGAGTAAATTGAAAGTGTGCTATTTTAAGTTTAAGTCATTGTGGAAATATAAGTATGTACTACCACAAGACACAAAGTGGAATCTGATTAATGCTCTTATACTTACACACATTGATTATGGGTCTAGTGTATATTATAACTACTTGAATGAGAGAATGAAGCACAAATTACAGGTTCTTCAAAATAGTTGTATGATATTTTTGAATACGAATATCAAAAGGAGAGATCACATTACACAATATTATACTAATAGAAGTATTTTGAAAGTTGATGGTAGATTTGCTATGCTCTATGGTTCTATAATTTATAATGTGATCACTCAAAATACACCACTTTATCTCTATAACTTGCTCCATATGAGATCCACCGAACATTCGGTGAATTTACGCAACATAGACGACTACTCAATGCCTAGCATAATACAACAAAGTTTGAAAAATGTTTTGAACATGTTGCTTCGACTTTGCTTAACAATTACAAACATATATTCGGTCTGACTAACCACCACAAATTCAAAATTGCCTTAAAAAAAATTGTTATCAGAACAGCAACAACATAATGATATTGTTACGTTATTCGGGTGCAGAAGCGAACACGACACTATTTATTTTCCAACTGATTTATTTGAACTAAAGAAACACTAATTTATATCGAACTTATAACTACTATTTATGTAAAACGATTTATAACACGCGGTATATAACTGTCTCTCTGACACTCGCTGTTTGACTGACTGACTCAGTTGTTAGGCCTTTTTATATATGAGAACACAGGCAGGCTTTGGTTCGAGAACCTTCTCGAAATGATCTTCCGTCTCCTTCTTTTTGTTCTAGAAGCTTCTTAGAACAAACCTCTCTCTCTAATTGTTCCATCGATTGTTTCCAGAACATTCCAGAATCTTCTGTGACGTTCTTTGTCACTGCGGCATATATTGAGTGTTCGGAAATATGTTGGTGTATGTAGGAATCATTGAGAGGTTGGAGAGCAATCTGGGATGCGTGATACAGGATGATCGTTGTACTCCTGCCTTCCTGCTGATGTCTCTAAAGCGCCTCCAAGGGAAATATCATTACACTGTCCCCTCCTTGAAACGCATTCCTCCTGGAATGCACTCTGATCGTTATGAAGATAGGGACAACTGGTTTCATTTTTACAACGTGCAGTATGGTAGAAATAGCATGGCACTGTCTTCTCTCTTGGAGTTCCTTTGGAGTTCCAGCAGCATACCAGAATTTCAACTCCGGTGAATCTAAATAAAACCTCTAGCATGTTCCTTACAATTCTCCAATTCAAGCCATCCAGTCCACACCCCAGCTTTGGAACAGCAATCTTCTGTATGTCCTTCTCGAGTATGGTGCTTCGCAAGTCGACTAGCGTCTCCCAGAGGTCCTTGTAAGTGGGTTTCTCAAAAGATCTTCCTTTCGTTATAAGATAAAACAGAGACCTTTTCCCTTCAGCGCTGATATCTTCTATTTCTAGTGCTCGACCGACGGAGGGACCTTGTTGATGAAGCTCATCTAACTTCCCAAACTTCCTCATGAACTTGTTCGCTATTCCTTGAGACATCTGAAGATCCTCGGCGACGCAGTGAGCTAGTGCGTATTCTACAGGAATGGCAAAAAGGTCGCGGTGCTCTTCCTTGGTGACGCCAAACCTTGCTTTTGATGAACCACTGTATGTCCCAATGAATTCGTCGAATGTAAGCTCCTTTCCTTCCGGACAAATTTGTTGAACTTGTTGATCTTGTGTTCCCTCGAATGGTGCTAGTCTGTTGAAATGAACGACTCTTGGTTTGCCACTGGGTTCTTTATTGATGCGGTATATGACATCGTTGATCTTCTTCTTGACGGTATAAGGTCCTTCCCAAGATCTCTGTAGTTTTGGACAAATACCTCGTTTCCTTTGTGGATTGTACAACCACACCAGGTCTCCTTCTGCGTATCCTGCACCCCCAGCTCTGATGTCGTACCGGTCTTTCATGCGATCGCTGGCGATTTTCAGATTAGAACGAACCAATTCGTGAATATCGTTCATTTTTTTCATCAGATTCGTGACGTAATCTTCCCCCACTATGTCCTCACCAGGTCTACATCCGAAGACCAAGTCACATGGAAGCCTCATCTCTCGTCCGAATAGAACCTTCGCCGGAGTCTGTCCTGTAGATTCCTGTACCGCAGATCTGTAGGCCATCAAGAAGAAAGGAAGATGTTGATCCCAGTCTTGTTGGTGTTGATCAACGACTCTGCAGAGATACCTCCCTATGGTTCGGTTCATTCGCTCCACCATGCCATCTGACTGTGGATGCAATGGAGTTGTTCTTGTTTTCTTGATTCCTAACTTCTCGGTCATCTTCTTAAACACTTCACTCTCGAAGTTCCGGCCCTGATCAGAGTGAAGTTCCAATGGCACCCCAAAACGACTGATGAGTTGATTCATCAGGACATCGGCGACAGTTACGGCTTCCTGGTTAGGGATCGCATACGCTTCCACCCACTTGGTGAAGTAGTCCATGCAGACAAGGATGTATTTATTTCCATTATCAGTCACTGGAAACGGCCCCGCAATATCCATAGCAATCCTCTCGAAAGGACTTCCAACATTGTACTGTCTCATGGGTGCCCTTGGTTTACGATGAGGCCCATTGCTGGCAAAACACACGGTGCATTTACGGCACCACTCCTTGACGTCGTCACTGCAGTTCACCCAGTAGAACCGCTCTCGTACCCGCTGCAGTGTCTTCCTCACTCCTAGATGTCCCCCTGAAGTTCAATCATGTACATATCCAAGTACTTCCGACACTCGGCTCCTAGGAATGACCAACTGCATTCGATTATTTGACCCATCATCGCTCTCGAGATTCCTCTTGAGCAGGTCATCTTCTAATACCAAGGAGTCCCACTGACTCCAGTACGCCTTCAAAGTCTGTGAAGATGGTGCTACTTCTTGCCAAGAAGGACGGCGATTCGCTTTCTTCCATTCTCGAAGCTTCCGAAGTTCTGGGTCCTTTTCTTGCTCTTGCTTGATTGCTGCAGGTAACCAATCTTCATTGACAACGGTGGTTCTGTAGAGGGCTGCTTCCTTATCCTCCAAACGACTACAATGTGAGCACTCAGGTGGACATGGTCTTCTGGACAATGCATCTGCATTCTTATGGCTCGTCCCCACTCGGTGTGCTATCTCGAAGTCATATTCCTGAAGCCTCTCGATCCAACGAGCTACTTGGCCTTCGGGGTTCTTGAAATTCAGGAGCCACTTCAAAGCAGCGTGGTCCGTCCTGAGAAGGAATTTTCGCCCATAGAGGTACTTATAGAAATGCTCCACTGATTTCACCATGGCCAATAGTTCCCTCCTGGTAACGCAATAGTTTCGTTCTGCCTTCGATAGCACCTTACTGAAGTAACCGATGACTCGCTCTTGCCCATCTTGATACTGCGAAAGGACACCACCAATGCCGATATTACTGGCATCTGTGTCAAGAATAAATTGTCCTTGTGGAAGTGGATACTCAAGAATCGGTGTCGTGGTCAAGCATTCCTTCAGAGCATCAAAGGCGGCCTGGCATTCTGGATCCCAGTGGAAGGGGCGTGCTTCCTCGGTGAGACGAGTCAGAGGCTTTGCGACATCCGAAAACATTCGAACGTAACGTCGATAATAAGTGCAGAGTCCAAGAAAGCTCCTGAGTTGATGCTTATCTGTTGGTACTGGCCATTGCTTCACTGCTCGTACTTTCTCAGGGTCGACTTCCACACCCTGCCTTCCTAAAACGTGTCCCAAGTAGTTAACCCGTTTCTGCAGCAGATGACATTTCTTCAGATTGAGTGTGAGGTTTGCAGCCTGAAGTCTCTTGAAAACTTCCTCTAGGTTAACCAGATGTTCTTCAAAAGTTTTACCGATCACGATGATGTCATCCAAATAAACTAGGCATGTCTTCCAGGAGAGTCCCCTTAACACATTCTCCATGATTCGTTCGAAGGTAGCCGGAGCATTGCAGAGTCCGAAAGGCATGACCTTGAATTGCCATAACCCAGTGCCAATGGTGAAAGCTGTCTTTTCCTTATCTGCCGGATCCATTTCCACCTGCCAATATCCACTTTTCAGGTCCAGAGTGGAGAAAAGATTCG